ATGGGGACTTCTCTGCAGCATGCTGGCAGATGGCTTTCCTACTGTATCTAAAACTAAAAAAACTGTTTTGTCATCAGATATACTGAACATTAAAGGTACATTTTATTGGCCTTTGTTCAAATTGAGTTGTTTTACGTTTTATAAAGGCCCAGCTATGATACCGCAGTCAGAGAACTGTACGGGTTTTCTATACAGAGCAGGGGCTGTTTGCTTTCAGACTCTCGCTCTCTCTAATGAAAGTCTGTATAGTCCCTCGAAGAGGGGGGAGGAGTCACTCAGCTGTGTGTGTAATCTAAGCTTAAGCTACTGAGCTCTTTAAACAACAGTATTTTCTCACCAAGGCAATTAAAGATGGGGTGATAAACGTGTGAAAGTTTGAAGAGTGAACATTGTATAACAATTGACAGCAGGAAGAGGCATGGAATGGAGATTAAACTGGCAGCCTGAGAAGAAAGAGAAGCATACGCTGGTGTATACAGAGCAATGTTATTGTGTATGAGTGTGTGCTGTGTGGTGTATACAGGGCAGTGTTATTGTGTATGGGTGTGTGTTGTATGGTGTATACAGAGCAGTGTTATTGTGTATGGGTGTGTGTTGTATGGTGTATACAGGGCAGTGTTATTGTGTATGGGTGTGCGTTGTATGGTGTATACAGGGCAGTGTTATTGTGTATTGGTATGTGTTGTATGGTGTATACAGGGCAGTGTTATTGTGTATTGGTGTGTGTTGTATTGTCAATACAGGGCAGTGTTATTGTGTATGGGTGTGTGTTGTATGGTGTATACAGGGCAGTGTTATTGTGTATTGGTGTGTGTTGTATGGTGTATACATGGCAGTGTTATTGTGTATGGGTGTGTGTTGTATGGTGTATACAGGACAGTGTTCTTGTGTATGGGTGTGTGTTGTATGGTGTATACAGGGCAGTGTTATTGTGTATGGGTGTGTGTTGTATGGTGTATACAGGGCAGTGTTATTGTGTATGGGTGAGTGTTGTATGGTGTATACAGGGCAGTGTTATTGTGTATGGGTGTGTATACAGAGCAGTGTTATTGTGTATGGGTGTGTGTTGTGTGGTGTATACAGGGCAGTGTTATTGTGTATGGGTGTGTGGTGTATACAGAGCAGTGTTATTGTGTATGGGTGTGTGTTGTATGGTGTATACAGGACAGTGTTATTGTGTATGGATGTGTGTTGTATGGTGTATACAGGGCAGTGTTATTGTGTATGGGTGTGTGGTGTATACAGGACAGTGTTATTGTGTATGGGTGTGTGTTGTATACAGAGCAGTGTTATAAAGTGGGTTGGGTTCTCACCTGTGTGTCAGTATGGGGATGATGCAGTGGGTTGGGTTCTCAGTTCGGTGTCAGTATGGGGAGGATGCAGTGCGTTATGGGGAGGAGGCAGTGGGTTGGGTTCTCACTTGTGTGTC